TAAATCTGCGTTACTGAGTTGTTACACCAGTCTGCTAGGCGTAGAAAATTATTACCAGATTAGGATTACTTGCCCAACTCTGAAAATGCTATCTATGGGGTTACTATACTCTGTAATAAATGAATCACAAAATTCAAAGGGTGACCTTATAGAAGCTAATGACCAGTCAATAAAACCAGCCATGTTGGACTCAAGAGGGCTTACACACTCAGACCCTTATACAATCATTTCCTGACAATTCAGTTTGGRTTTCTCAATCCTAATTTTAATTTTCTGCAAACTCCTTTGCCCTTTAGCACAGAAGAAATTTCTCTGTATAGCTCAATGATCTCTTTTCTTTTGCTATGAATCAGCTGTTTAAACTTTTGAAAAAGCATTTCAATTCCAAGATTTGTGGCTTCACTTATCACTTACTTCAGCATCCAGGATAATCTGTTTTGTTTCTGCTTCGTCTGTGTTCCACATTTTCAGCTGTGATCATATTATTCAGTACTTTAAGTTATGGTGCATCTTTTTGTAATTGGAAACGAAGTGTGAGGAAATAAAGAGTTTGGGATTTGTTTTCAGTTAAAAAAAAAACTCAGCAAAAGGAACTCTGGTATGCTTTCTGTTTTAGAAAAGTTTCACTGCTATTCATCTAAAAAGTGAAAAATTCTGAAATATTCTGAAATAAAAAGTGATCTTTTACACCTGTGTCTGCAGTTTCTACTGATGACACAGTCTAAATGATCAGTTATATGTAATTTTGCCTGAACCGAGCTATTTGAGACATTTAATAATTCTAAGTGTATTCTTCATAATTTTAAGTGCTCTGACCTACACATAACTGGTTTAAGCACCTCATTCTGATCAAGGACTTTACACAAGTAAATTGTGTAACTGGTAATTACACCAAAATGGAAAAATGGTAATTCCATTTATCTGAGAGACAGAGAGAGAAGGAAAAAAAAAAAAAAAAAAGCTTGATTGAATGGCATTTTTAAAGTACAAAACTAAGAATTTTTCTTTTTTTCTCAGTAATTTCAACCCTCTTCAAAGATTAAATTTATGCATCTTGAGAATTATTCTTAATTGTCAGTACATTTCTTACAGAAAATGTATCTGTTTTGTTACATACTGATGTGCTTAACAATAGCATCTTACAGCAGGGAATGCAGTACTTTTGTTAAACTGAGATCACAGAAGCTCTGAGTAACAGCCTTTTTCATCATTGTCCAGCTAAGGTATATCGACATTMTTAATAATAATACAAAAACCTCCTACTTTCAATTTCAAGGGCACCAAATAGAAAATACAAATTATGATGGATTTTCCAAATTTTCAGTAAAACAGATTTTTCAAATATTATTTTTATATTTCAATACTATTTCAAATTTCAAATATTATTTAAACTTCATTGTTTAAAGTCATTCAGGTCACTTTACCTCTGACCAGCTAATGGAACTTATAAGCAAATGATGGCATAGCTGAGTTGGTAGATAGTTACAAGACAGTTGCAAACAACATGGATGCTGTCTATAGAAAAGGATGAAGAGAAGGAAAAAAGAGAGGATACATGTAAACATGTATGTACATGCTTACATACATGTAAAGAGGTATGTACGCATCCCATACGTTATATCAAAAGTGTTGGAATTACATAATAGATGCAAATATATGCATTGGAAGAAAAGCTAATATGTTTGTGTTAATGATGAAAGGGAGGGGACATGCTAAGAAATCATTATTAGGAAATAAAAAGAATTTATATGCCCTGAAAACTGTGTCTCCGAAATGCTTTAACTCCGTTCCTGCACGTGAAGCACATATTCAAGGGAGAGAATGAAGTGCAAAGCTAAGCTTATACAAAGGCAACACAGCCTTTTCAGATAAAAATACAGACAAATAAAGTTGGAGGGAAACCCTAAGGGAACATGCAGCCATCTCCTTGGCCACAAGCAAAAGAGCTTGTGTCACTCCTGACAACTGTCCGTCTGAATAGACAGCTGGGTAACTACCAGCTGAGTCGGCCAGTGATAGAAACTAACACTCAATCCATGTCAGACACTATTACCAGAATGAGAAACATTACAAAATGTTTCCAGTATGTAACAGGAATCTTTCTCATTGCAACTTAGTATAAAACTTCTTTTCACAATAAATAAGAACAGACTGCTATCTTCTTTTCAGAACCCTTTAGAGATCATAAACTCTTATACCTCTATGCAGTATTTCCTCTGTATGTTATATTTTAAATCATATTTTTACCAATTGTACATTACTCAATGGCTTTGAGCCCTCTGATCATTGTCTTGTTGAATCTCTGGTTTTGGGCCACATGTCACTTTCAGTGCCTATAACACTAGAATATGGTATCACTTCTGAACGAGTACAGCAGAAGTATTAAAGAAAGAAATTAGTTTGACTTGATATGATTTGTTGTGTCAAATCTATGCTGCCCGCTACTCATCTTTTTGTTATCTTACAGATATTTAGAATGTACTGAATGTACATTAAGGATAATAATAATATCCTGAATATGTATATCATAAACAGTACATTATAATGTACTGTAATGTATAATTCAGTACATTATAAAATAAYATACTGAATAATGTACTGAATTATTTGTTCCCATGTTTTCCAGGAATTGGGTTTAATTCTTTGATCCCTCTACRATCTATTCTCATTTTGAAGGTTGCTTTTTTTTTTTCCATTTTTCCATTCATACTTTTCCAGTCTTCTGGTGCCCTACCTGTTCTCCCCAGTTTCTCCAAAATAACTGCTAATAATTCTAAGATAATTTCAAACAATTTTGTAAATATTTCAAGAAGAAAGATTGTAAGACCCAGAGTGGCTGTAGGAATTGTGTTTGTGATTTCTGTAAAAACTACGGTAATTTTAATAATCTCATCAAAACCCCTTCATTATCCTTGTCATTGCTATAACAGTTGAAATAACCAGCTACTTGTCATAGGCTTTAAATACTAGCACTGTCTTACAGTTTACTCTACCACTTTCTTCCTCCACTGAGAGTCCTTTCCTTTCTTTTATCATCTATTAATATATGCAATTTTCATAATGATCTCTTATTAAGCTTGATGTCTTTTGCTAGCCCATTCTCAGTTTCCTCTTGATTTTGTCTCTTGATCTGTTTTGAAATACCCATCCCTAGAAATTATCCTGACATTCACTTCCATTTCAAGATTATTAAGATTTCATGGTTTAAAAGATTGGGTCTTCTATGACCTTCCCCACTCTTCTGCTATTTTTGCAACTTTATCCTTAATATTTTACCTTGTGGGGTAACTGCTCTGAGATGCTCAGAGATCTTCAGAGATTTCATTCTTAGTGAATGCCATTAGAATGCTAAACATCTGTGCATCTCTGCACAGCCAAAAAGCCCAACAAGGATCCAGAGCACRGAGGAGCTCGGGTGATCAGCATTAAGCATACATCCATCTATGCCTGTTGACAGGTCATATACTCATCAGAGCAAAGTGTTGATAAACACGCTCACCCTGGACTAGGCAGACGACAACCACACAATCTCAGGACAGGTCTGAAGTTCCCACCAGCTCAGTTCTGAAAAAGAGAACAGACCTATACGACAAGAAACATACCAGTTTCTTAGTGGTGTGACATCTCTGCCGGCATTGCATCTAATCTTTCTGCTGCTTGACACAGCCCCACCTGCCACACCAAATGTACTAGGAGTTCACACAGATAAATCCTGGAAGTCTACAGAATATGAAGAATGTCATGGGTTTTTAGTTCTTCATCCACTGCATTAAAAGACAGAAGGATCTGACTTTGGGCATAACACCAAGCTGCACACCAAGCTCAGCAAGAGCTGTATCTTGTCCAGATAGGAAACCTTCATTTCCACTTTGACTACTCCATATTTTCAGTTATTGTCATTGTCAAAGTTAAAGATACATCTCTAAGAAAGCAGTTTTTTTTTTTATGTCCTAACATTCAGAAAATTAAATTCAAAATTCTCCTTGTATCCAGTGAAAAATTTATGTTAAAATTTCGTGCACTAAACAACATGCAGTGTCTTGACCTTGATGCTGTATGTCTGACTCCCACATCGTTTTAGATGCAGTTTATTCATTACAAACTGCAGATTCTTCCCATGTGGCTGTTCTCAGTAGCTCTGTAAAAACAGATTATTCTCTTCCTTCCCAGGGGTTCCTACTGGCACAGATCCCAGGTGCAAGAAAAAGACAAGCATCACTCTGTGTCCTGGTCCCAGACCAAGTTCCTTTTAAAGGAACATTTTATGCACTAGGCATTCAGTGAACTAAACAGTCACAATAGCGTAAGATGGATGGGCCCTTTGAACTAAAGTGCTGTTAAAGTCATGGATGTTAAAAATTTTGAGTGTTACTCACAATTGTCTTTAAAAAATATCTTCCTAGTTTAAGTATCCCTCACTATTTTACTATCATAGATGGGCCATATGCTGAAGTACTCAGCATCTAGAGTTGAGGTTCCATTTTTAGAACTGACTCCATTTAAGCACCAAAAATGCTGGACAGTCAGTGTAGTTTGGTGTGTTTTAACCATGTCACACCATGAATCTCCATAGAAGCAGTTAAGCAGTTGGTTGGGACATAGAGATCACTAAGATGAGTTTGGAATTCTTGTCTTAACACTCAAATCAGACCATTTGTGAACTAGCTGTCTCTGTGCAGCAGAGTGGCTCAATTGTCACTGTATTTCCTTCATTCTACTGTGTACTTTATCATTCAAGACATACTTAATAAATTACCATTTTTCTCATTAAGGGTTTACATATTATCAGGTATATGACATTTTTATTCAGTTGTGCGATTCTGTTCCTTCAAGCCTCAAGAGGAAAAAATAAAACTTTACTTCTCAATTTTATGTAATTAAGTCTCTCACAAGTTTAAGGAATAGGTCAAATTCATACCTCATTTGGTTTCTGTGGTATGTGTCTGCAGAAGTTTCTCCATGCACATGTCTCATCCTCAGGCAGAAGTGAGAAGCAAAAGAATAAGCAAAAAAAATTTGCTGCATCTGCAGCAAGGATCTGGAGAACCTGATGAAAGTTTCCTGTTAGCCCAAGTTTTCTGGTGAGAACTTTAGAGAAGTTATTTGGGTTGAACTTGTTCATGTTCAGCCCAAATAACTTGTTCATGTTGATCGTGTTCAACTTGAAATACAGTGGATTAAGCTACACTGTGAAAAGGTACTATCAATGGGTGCTCTTATTTCAATATGGATTTTGTGGGAGAAAAAAAAGTTATGAGAATAATTTTGCATGTATAAAGAAACTGGAATGAGCTACACCACAGCAAATCTGGAGGTAAAACTCACCTGGGTAATTATTTCTAGTGAAAGTGAAGGTAGAGTTTCTTTACATCATCCTCTTCATTACTTCATCCTCTGGTTGACAAATCCCAAGCCAGATAACTACTATATAGTTGAGATTTTTGTTCCTGTGAATAGGAATATAAATAAAATTAAGAACATATGCTAGATATCTATATTTTTTTTTCTCTCCCACCATTTTATCCTCTCTAACCTACTCCAAAATGAGCTCTCCTGTTTTTTTATCATTCAGGAGATCACTAGCATCTCTTAAGAAATGCCTCTTCATCATACAGCTTGAAAAACCTATGAATTATTCTAATCATTACTGTTGATTAAACAGGTAGGGGTCCTTTTTGCTTCTTCATTTACCTCTTTTTCCTTCTGCACAGCTGGAGATGTTCAGTCCCATTGTAGACTCCTCATCTCCACTAAAGTCCTTCTGGCATGCTAATTAATCTCTTTTCTAATGTGCACCCTCCCCAACCATGAGCCATTGTCTACTTTTACATCTTATTTCCAAGAGACAGGGCTCTTAAAATTCTTGGATGTCTCCCTTAACAATAGATGTGGCCTATACATAATGTGACAAGCAAGACAATGATTTAATGACAAGAGATAGAAATGCAGCATTAAGATGCTTCTATTTTTTTCCAACATTTTGCATGATCCTGTTTTCTAATTTTTTGTCTATTTTCTTTCTTTAGAGTTCTTTTCTATTTTATCAAAATACTCATACAATGGTAGCATTTAATTAAACTACATTTTCATCAAACTTATGAAATAGAGAAAAATATTCTGCTTTATCTCAGTTCATATTTTAGGGCTTTCTAAAATCTCATTTATTGGGAAATGAATGCTTTCCTGTAAAATGTCTGACACATACTATCCAAAGCACTCGATGCAATACATTTGGATATGTTGGGTATAGCCATATCTTTCAAATATAACCCATATTATGATACACATCTAATGAAGTCATTAATATATTACTAAGAAGGTTACAGAAGATTGCAGAAAGACCAGAAAATACTAGTAACATAAAAAAAAAAGATGATAAGGCCTAATATTGTGTCTTTGACAGATGGAAATCTTTCCAAATTCAGACAGCATAGAGATTTAAGGAAAGCAAAGTCTTCAGAAGAGTAAAAGCTTGATTGCTGACATAAGTACTGTCTTGCCCCCTCTTTCACCAGCGCCAGAGCAAAGACCTTCCCCACAAGTCTTGCTCTCCTGTGTTGTACCTTGCAGTGATGAGTCATTGACCTGAAATAGTTAACTGACTAGCTGGAGGCTGATGCATTAAACAGCGGCATTAGCTAGCCACAGTGCTGCCACTTTGATGCTCCAGTTGAGCCCCCTTAGGATTGCCATCTTTACCTTGATGCTAATCTTGAGGACTGCATGTGTCATGGAAGAGAACTCTGCCACAAAAATTACTATGATTTTGATTAGGAGTATGAGGGCTTCGTGACAGAGCCATAACTTAAAAATAAACAACAATTTTGTGCAATCATCATTTTAGAATTTGGAGCAAATGTAAGCTTTAAAGCAATCTCCATTTCCTCAGGACAAAAGCAAACTTACCAGCTTTTACAATCAGATCACAGACTACATCTATTCATTGGCTCTATTTCTACATCTCTGTAGGTAAGATATTTCATAATTACATGGTTTGACTTCACTAATTTATTTTTCTCCTTCAAAACCATACGAAAGGAACAGTTTACAGAAATATCATTATTAAACACTACTCTATCTTTCTGATCTTTCTTTCACATGCTCTTTCAGAGTCACTCTTCTTTCTAATTCACTGTCCTTTCTAGGACTTTCAAAATATAAAAATCTAACTTCTCTTTTACTTACAGTTTCCATCTCTTTCTTCCCTCCATTCTTCTTAATTCCTTCTCTTTTTTTTTTTTCCCCGTTGACTACTTTGTATTTTTAACTTTATAAGTAATAACATACTTGGTCTATTTCCAAATTACAAAGAATTGAGCTAAAACAGAAGGATGCAACATAAACAGCACTGCTGTAGGCCACAGTGAGCAAAGGTTCATGCTCTGTCAGTTAGCCTTCCAGGTTACAAGGGCAGATGATGTGATCATGAGCAGATTGGTACAAATTTATGAATTAGTGGGATGTTCAGCCAAATATATCTGCAATGAACTGGTCATTTGCTCATATTCAATTGGCAGCAACAGTTCACAATTGGCAGCTCATCTCTGTCAGGATGCCTAGGGACTAAATTAGTATTTGCTCTATGGTCATTTTTATTACTGTTTTCAAATTTCGCAGCACCTGCGATACAAGAAAATTTGAAATAAAGATTTCCAAAACAACAACAAACAAATGAAAAAACAAACAACAACAAAAGAGAAAAACACACAGGGAACTGAGGAAAGGAAGATCCAGCCACAGAGCACAGTAATACAGTTAAGCAATTTGGAAAACATTTCTGCAAAATCATTTTTTCCTGTGGGATGCTAATTCTCCTTATGCAGTATGGATTTTCACAGAGCAAAATCAAATTTAATCACTTGATTCAACACAAAATGAAAGGTTCCATTTTGTCAAAAAAGTAACCAAAGGATAAGTTTCCACTTTGGCCAGCATTAATCAGCTGCAATCTGTAGCTGCAGGACTTCAAAGACCATTAATCTAAACTCTAAGCTGGAGTGCCCCTCCCTGTGGGTCAGCTGTGTGTCTACGTCTCAGAGGTGACCACGAGGACTGGCAGTTCCACCACAGAGGCTGCCCAGAGAGACCCACAGAGATGCAGCCATCTGGGCAGGACCTAAGGAAGAGCAAAACTGCAAGGCACTTACAGACAGTAAAGAAGTAACTTAAGGATGCCAGAAAGTGCAATCTGATTGACCCAAATTCAGAATAGTCACATTAAAGAACATTAAAATTAACATTTGAATTTGAGAACATCAAAAACAATAAAATAAAGAGCTATTTTTAAGGAATTGTCTCTGCAGAAAGTTTTCGGACATTGACTTTTCATCTAGATTAGACATGAAAGCAAACAAGAAATAAATGAAATTTTACACATAATAAGGAGTCCAGAAAACTACTTATAAATCTGTTAGAAACTTGCATGCCCTTTAAATAATGATGATTTTCCTTTAGGATGATCTGACTTAAAGGGCACAATATACAACTGGAAGAATTACCATAAATCCAATCTCAGATCTAAATCCCCTTGAGGTAGCGGCTTTTCACACTCTTAGCACTCTTAGCAAACTACTTCCTCCTACACAGAACTCTGCCAAATAGCCAGGCAGATACAGTTTGGGAATAAATGTTAGTTACTGTGCGTCCTTAATAGGTGGATCATTAATGTGCGTGGGTAAAAATGACTACGGCTTCCAAATTTGTGCAAATCCACATGCAAAACCATATTTCATAATAAACTATCTCCAATCTTGCTTCTGCCTTCAAAAAATCCTTAAAAGCAAATGCTGTCTTTAAAAAAAATTCCAAGGTAATGGTGGAAAACTTAAAAACAAAACAAAATAAAACAGATGAATTACTAAACTTTTTTTCACACTGAAGAACATAGACCCTTACAAGTTTGTAATTCAATCCAGACTTTAATCCAGATAGGTTTAACTGGATTACTCAAGACACAGGTTCAACATTTCTGTTTAAGTGTTCTAATCTAGAAAGAGGATCACAGATGTGTTTCTGAAGAGTCTTTTCATCCTTTTGCCATGATAACAACTCACCTCAAACCATCTTAACCGTATCAACCCATTAAAGTACAATAGCTCTCTATACGTATTTTCTTTTTTAATATCCCTATCTTATGTCAGGAAGGTAAACTCTAAGGATCTCAAACGACCTTTTCTCTTCAGTCAGTCAGACCACAGACTTTCCCTACATCCTAGATCAAATCAATAGCCTAGAGTGCCTTTTCTAAGCTCCCAAGCACATCTCAAGGAGTCTGCTTGCATTTCAGAGAAGCCTCTTATACTCAGTATAGTCTGTCCAAATATCAAAATAAAATAATACTGAAATATAAAAGAGAGAGAGAAAAATGATCCTGCTAGAATCCTGTTAGGATCATTTTTACTCGCTTGTACAAGCAGCAGCTCTGGACTCTCTGACAGCAGTTCAATTTTCACATGCTGATCTGATTCATCCACTCAATCACAAAAGGGAGAGCTAGGAGCAAAAGGGAGAGCTAAGGAAGAGTTCAGCTGCTGTCAGCATCTCTGAGAATCCAACCCTGAAACTACCAACACCTTTAAAGGAGAAATTATATTGCATTCATTAAAGTATACAAACGCAGCCAAAACTGGAGGAAATTAATGAACCCATTTTCCAAAATACTGCTTATCATCCAGGTTCCTGCTTCCCAGAAAAACTCCATCAAAGAACCATCTGTTCCTAATTGCCAGGATCTTCTCTAAAATAATTTTTAACATTATGGAATAAGAAGAGCTGTAGTCAGAAGACCTCTGACTAAAACACCCCTTTTCTTGATCACTCTGTAAAATTTTATACTGCTGACCACATATAGTGCTATTTCACATCAGAGCTTCCACCCTGGGATGGTTCGACCCTTCCTCCTTGGTCACCAAAACGGCAGCGCTTTCCTCTAGAGTGATTCTGGGGGCCACACAGCTGCAGAAGTTAGAGAAACAGCAGCGAGTGGATGACATGAGGCTTGCTAATATTTGACATCAAGCTGCAACGATGTTATTAGCATCAAGGTTAGTTCCATTATTTTTGAATAGACTTTAGTTCTGAAAGGAAAATGGAAGCTCCTCTGACAGGAAATATTTTGATAGACACAACATAGACTTTTTTGACAGTGTCACACAAATTATGTGGACGAAATTTTCACCTTGGCATCTTCTCTCAAAAATTATTCTGAAAATTAGAATGACAGAAGCAAATTGTAATGGCCATGCAGAGCATTAAATGATTAGATTGCATTGATCGATATATACCAGCTCACATTAAGTACACTAGAAGTCTGCACTAATCACTAAAGACTTGAAATTATGTTGAAATCAGATTATCCTTGATCCGAGGCTGTGTACACAGATAATACAAAAAGGCAGTTGCAGAGCATGCAGTTAATGCTCTTCTCTTACTAGTAAACTTGTTTAAAAAATAATTATATTTTCCATATCTTACTGCATTTTTGCTKCCTGTAGATTATATATATGTGTATATATTTATTAGAGTGACTGTTATTCTAATCCAAAAAAAGATCAAACCCTTCAGCATGTGCCCTGTAACAGCAACTTCAACAAGCTATGGGGTTACAAAGACTTCATGCTTGATGCTATTTTAAAAACTATGGAGTTCTAATTGCACTATGAATTATAGACATATAGTTATAGACATATAGACATTATAGACATATAGACATATATAGACATATAATTAGGTAATTTTAAAAAAATAATATTAGGCTGATTTTTGCTACAAGGTTACATCTAACTATATTCAAAAAAAAAAGAAAAAAAAAAGAACTGAAATCCATTAGTTTTGACTTATAATATTGTCTTATGTTTTATGTAGGCTGTATGCCAACAGCCCCATTTTGTGGGGAATGGCAGATCCTTCCTTTTTCATGCCTCTCTTTGCCTGATTCTAGTCAGATCTCTTCAATCATTAACTGCCTTAAACACCTAGAAATTAAGTTGTGTTGTCCTGCCTACAGTGGGAAGGAACTTGCAGGGAAGCAAGAGACATATTTTGCTAAAGGTCTAAAGAATTCTAACTAATATTTGAGACTGAAAATACATTGAATATTTAGGAAGCTGTTATCTTTTGTTCTTTTAAGCCAAAGAATAATAAATGCTATATTTCTTCAAAAGTATATGGATAATGCAAAAAAGAGGGGAAGGATTAACTAATGTTAACTTAATGATTACAAACTGACAATGAAGATTAAGCACCTGACATCTATGAGATGTCTTACAGAGCATCTATTGAACTTTAAGCAGGAATAAGGTATTTAATAATAATTTTCATGAACTGACAAGAAATCAAGGAGAATATATTAAACACTCCAGTTCCTCAAAAAACATTAATCCCTTTTAAAGGGAAGGCWAGGTCTCTAAATTCCATTTGTCAAAATCAAATTTAGTCAAAGATTCCTAAGTTCAAAGGATGTGATAAAAGTTAATTACCAACTTATTTCTAYCTTTTAGCATTTACTTATAGAAACACAGGAAACTCTTTAAATAGATCCATGTACATGTTCCTAATGTCTGACTGAGAAAACCTATTTATAGGAATGTACTGTCTTTGCCTTTTTTCCTAGTGTCTTTAGGAGAGGACTGCCCCCTAGTGATACTGAAAAACACTTTTTTCCCCACATTAGCCAGGATGTTCCAGTTCCACTTACACCCTTAAAATATGATTCCCCTACTTGCACATTGTCCTAGCAAGTTTTTTTTTCTATTCCTATTTTCTTTAAGTTATTAGCAATTAAGAAGCACGTTACTTCACAACTTGTTTTTGCTGGTCTTTTTGCTTGTTTACTTCTTACACTACAACTATTTGCGTCTATAAACAACTGCTGATTCTGGCAACTTTGTTTGCACGTACTAGAACTCAAAACCTTACGATTATCTGAAGCTTTTATGGCAACCCAGTGAGCTGACTCACATATTCTGGGTCGGCTCTTCACCGGGAGAGCAATGGGAGAAGGTGGGCACGAGCCACACGCTGCTGCCTCTTAGTGCAGCTCCCACGGCAAGCAGCAGACGCGACACAAGCAGACCTGACCGCAGAGCCACCGCGGTGTGTCCCRGCGCAGCAGAAAGCAGGCAGCTCCAGCAGCCCCAGGAACACTGCCGGCCCAAGCTGCCTTCAAACACTGCAGGAAGAAGCTGCAATTTAAGCACTGTGCCATGAGCAGCCCACTTCCACCACCACCTGCTTATGGCACTTGGAAAACACCTGCCCTGCAGCCRGCCTCTGGAAACCCTGACTTTTCCCAGGAGGCGTCGGCCTAGCACGGAGGAGCAGATCTATGTGCACGTGCCCAGCATGGCAGGTGCCCTCCCCGCTCCTGTTAACGGGGATCCGGCGTGATGCCGCTGCCGCTGCTGGTAGCAGATCATCTTTTGTCAAAATGATTGAACAGATTTTACCACTGTTTCCTACAGGTAACATTTTATGCAAAAGATAAAAGCAAAAAGGACTTCATTCCTCAGCATAAATCCCCATTCAGAGAAGCAAGAGGCAAATTCACATGTGTCATAATTCTGACAGCGCAAAGGAGGCAGCGTGAGGGGAAATTCTTCCCAGAGAAGCAGCCCAGCTCAGAGATACACTGACAAGTGCAACGTGATTGTATGTCACTGCAGACAGCAAACGCAAATGCTGCAAAAACGCACACAAAACTTCCTCCTCAGTGGTGTTCATAGCTCCTGTGAAGCTCAGGATATTTCAAGACCACAAGCCCACTCACCTAGCCAAGAAAACAGTTGTATTACTCTCTCTGTCACTCAGAAAACAGTGCTAATATTTGGATATAGCAGGGGATTAAGCAGGAAGCTTGCACTCATCTTTAAAATACAAAAATTAATTATGACTACTCTTTATGAGCTTTGAATGCTACTGCCAGCATGTTAATTTTTTATTAAAATCCTCTAACATTGTTCTAACAAAACCCGGCATCACAGCCCTAATTTTAAATGGGCATTTGCAAATCCTTTAAAATCTGTGCTTGAGCCAACTAGGCAAACAATTACAATAATTACTCCTTGTTGACTGTGCTAGAGCTGCATGACAATACATGGTGGATGCATCTCATTCGGGGGCTTTCTTTCAAGCCCACCTCAGCCAAGTAGACCAAAAAAGCTTGTTGTAAATGTCTCTTCTGTGCAGCTGCTGAAGAAACARCTCCTCTTCCATTTCTATGCCTCACACACGCAAGATTGATGTTTGCCTTGAGATGTATCACACTAGCATCTTCTAAGCCACCAACCAGAGTTTTCCCCTTCCCCTTCCTTGGCACAGGAGTCACAYTGCTGCCTCCTGCTGCCGCTGGACCGAGGAATGGTTGGGTAAAGCAACCCAGCACATTCACAAGTGATCAACAAGAGGCCAGCACTGCTGGGCCTCAGTGGAGGAGACCAGGTCCACTCCATTCGACTGCATTCCCAGGGGCTTCCTACAGGGCCAACTCCCTTTCCAGGGGCTGCACTGTSTTTCCTGCTGATGGGGCTTGTTGTTTAGGTACTTAACACTGCACCCAGAATACCCAGAGGCTAAATTCAGCATTACCCATTCGAGCTGCTGGGTTCTTTTACTTGCAAGAAAGAAAATGTAAAAGCTTAGAAAATATGTATTTACATATATGTTCGACTTTAAAAATAGCACTGTTATTCATGGTATGTGAAAACGAATGTTGTGCTTGCAGAAGCAGAGTCTGTTTTTTAAACAATCTAATGGAGCTTCTTGAAAATTCTCTCTATGTGTTGCCAAAGGCAAAACCGAGAATACTTCATGCAGGAAGAATAAATTACACACTTCTCGTAGCMAATGTTCTGCATTTTGTGACCTCTGTAGAAAGACTTGTTTTTTGAGGACCATGAAAACTTCTTGGATATTTTATCACAGTCTTAGCAACTCACTGTGAAATTTGATATTTTTGAGTCAGAGTGGGGAAAAAGGGCACATTGGCTCTTTTGGCACGGTKCAAGTGACCGAAGGCACTTGGGAATAGTGAGCCCTCACACCAGCTCATTGAGTAAGTGGAAAAAGTGTGACTTGATCTTTTGTAAGGAAACTTATGGACAAGTAGGATCCTGTTTGCTATTAAGATAAAAGTCTCATATTGTTCTGGCAGACTGGAGCACAGACTGAAATGCAAAGACAAGGAGATTGGAGAGAAATTGCTTTCAATTGCCGTTTCATGTTTAAGCAAARTCTCTGTTATGCCATCTGCTTCTTGGGAGAAAAAGTCAATAATTGTTTGAAAAACATGCAATTCAATAAAACACAGTATGTAGAAGTTTGCTACTCTCTGTGTCAAAAAATATACTTTCAGTGTTGTTTTTTCTATGAGAAAAAGAATATATATATACACACACACACACACACACACAAATCTGGAAAGATCTCAGGGTCTCTCTGTGCCCACATCTGCACTGGGCAATTCTGTCAGGAGACAGGTAACACAGCACATGCGGATCTATATCCTTCACTTGATTTCCTTTGTGCTCAGAAACGTTCTCCTTGAGAGAAGCTTCTGCCAGCAAATGGGTAGATATTTCTGTGCCTGCCCTCTCTTCACATGCTCTTCACTCTTGTTCTTTTCTCAAAGGTAGGTCCCAYGCAGGCAACAGGGTTCCCATCTCTGTTTTAGAAATGCACTGATAAATCCAACATACACTGAAAGCTGGAAAACAAAGTATCAGTATTGGGCTGTTCATCCCACCTGTTTTACACTGAAAGGGTGGTTCATGCCCTCTGCCAGGTTGGTATCRCTCTTCAGGGCTTTCTGCTGCTCCCTTTCTAGGGGGCTGTTTAGCTGAGTAGCTACTCCTGTGAGCACAGCAGCTAGGGAGCTCAACTTATTTCCATGCTACCAAGAACTTTTTCACCAGAAAGAGCAGGTGATTCGAAAAGCCACCTCYATCTGGTTGTTCCTTCACACATTTTCCATGTACATACAGGTAACGTGGAGCTTAGKGCTAATCTATTACAGTTACTATAGGGTGATACTATGGTTATACAGAATTCACACTCAGTGATATTTCAGAGCACAGAACATTTGTAGGCAAAGGTAACAGTAATTCAAGACTAAAACCTATTACTAATTTCTGAATTAATAATTATTACTAAAGGATGATTTCATGGCAACATTTAGTTTTTTTGTGTGATGACTCTTTCTTCTGGAGAGATTAGTTCATGACATTATTCTAATACTGGAAAAATGAAATCAATTATTTCTCTCTAATGGGCATGTATTGCTGGACGAGTCATGCAGAAACCATGAGGAGAACACATTCCAGTGGTTTGTTCCTTTCCTATCGTGAATGTAACTTATAAAAAACATAAAGTCACTTACTAATACTTCTAAAGGCTAATTTCATCTCTAAAGATGTATTAAGCCTGACACAAGGCTCCAGTTTTTATGAAAAATCCTATTATATTTTTTTTCATTTATGCCATTTCCTGGTCAGCCACATTATTTCACAACAAGTGAATCTATAAAACACCACTGCAAGAAAACCACCAAAATAACCAGGATATATTATCATTCAAAAATCAGAAAGAAATAAGTAAGGGTTTAATTAGTATTTTTTTTTCTCTAGAGTAGTTTAGTACTACTTGAGAACTTGGCATTCCTAGTGAGAAGACTCCTTGGTCCCAGAGAGCCTGAAGGACACAACACCCGGAATCTGTCACCCAGGCCAGCAAACCCTGAACACACTAAAATGCTGACAAGATGGAAGGCAGCCCTCACAACCYCTCCCTTCCTACACATCCAAAAGAGCCTGAAAAGACCCAGGAGAACACGTATGGATCTGTGCACGGGCCCCGCCAGCTCACAGCTGTTGTAGCTGATACGTCTCCACTCATGCATCAGCAGCCAGTTCACGTGGGACACTGGCCTTTGGCACCAAGCACTGTCAGAATAATGTGAGAACGATAAACTAATCCTGACTGTTCTGATTCCATTTGTTTAAAACATCTAAAACTGTTAGTGCAGTTGATAACAATTGGGAGCTTTTAAAATAACAAGATTTATGTTTCACATATAAAAATCAAGCCTCACGGGTATGTGTGTGGGTGTGTGCAGGTGCTTAATGCAAACGGCAGAAATGTACGGTTGCAACACCCCAGCAATATCTAGTTCCCAACAAACACCAACCAACTTCTAAAGACAAGTTGTGAGAGAAAAATAAGATAAATGAAAGTCCATTCTGCAAATATAATTCTACATTTTGATGTATGCATCTCTCAGACAGCCAGCATGCTGAGGGAGAGTAAAGCTTTAAAAGCACCCAGGCTTTTCTTGCTCACAACAGAAGCCGTGAGATGCACAGTTTGAGCACAGAAACATGCGCTATCGAACAGAGCACACTGTGTTAGGATGGTTTGCAGAGCTGCAGATAAGTTAAATCCAGACTAATTCACCATCTGAAAGGTTTCTTCCAGGTAAAACTAGTTCAGAATGCAAAGCACAGGAATTATTTAGTCTTTTATATTTGCTTTACCAAGAATGTTGTGGAGCAAAGTCTTCCTGATGAGGAAGAAAACATCACCCGATAGAACTGCTGTCAAAGCCTTCTGAGACAAAAGACACAAATACATAAACTTAAGAGCTTTGCGTTAACTTTAAAGAATGGCTTAGAAATCATATGGCTGTGGTTATGACGGAAAACTGAAAACACTTTTAGCAAGTTTAAGTTCAAAATACAGAGGTAACAGATTCATTTCCTATTTGAATTCTTTGAAGATGTAACTCAACATAGATAACGGGTACTAAGGCAAAGCACTTCTTTTAGATACTTGGATAGCATTTCAGCACCTCTTTCTACATCAAAAGGAAAAGTAATTGAAGTAGATAGGTAAGAGCCATTGGGAAGGAGGCTGACTTCAAAGCAGCTAGTGCTGAATTTCTGTTGGTTCCAAATTTTGGTTGAACTCTGAAATCTCAGTACTTACAAACCAAACTTTATTCTCCAATTTTTTAGCTATTTCAAATTATTTTTAAAATTCTTTAGCCATCTACTTGATAATGATTTTTACTACCCAAAT